TCTAATATAGAATGTGTGGCATTCATGAATAAATTATAGGCGTCTCTGGTTTTAAATAATAATCATTTGCTTCTCTTGTGACTTTTGTCAGCAGGGCTGTAATGCACTCGCCTCATTTTCCTTCTCTTCAATAGGAGGAGATGGGCTCAGAGACAGGCACAATTTATCATAAAATCTCATCACACTTTCCCTCACCATCTGGAAGCTGGAGATAGGTTTGTGAAGTCTTGGTTGAGAAAGAGTTGAATGCCACTTGTGGCATAGCAAGTTTTAAAAAGATGGTTTTACTCTTCAGTTCTGTTGCACAGGGCCCTGTGAGTTTTGACAATTAACATATGTGGCCAAGAGTTTTCTCACAAAGATTATCAGGGTTCTAGAGGAAATTATCTTCCAGTTTTAGTCTGCTGCTAAAGTGCTACATTTCTTTATAGATGAACTAATTAATTCTTGGTCACTTGTTTTTATTAGACATTTCTCTGCCTCTTTATGCTATGCTTTGTCTCTTTATGCCCAGCCCCAGGTTTTTCCTTCTAACTGCAAGAATCAGTTCATTGAAATATTCTCTCTCAAACTCCTGGGTTCAAGTGATCTTCCCCTGTCTGCCTCCTGAGTAGCTGGCATTACAGGTGTGCACCACTGTATACACACACACACACACATAGACACACAGACATCCTCATGTATACACACACACATAGGTATACACATATCCACACATACTCATTAGATATACATTTACACACACAAACCCACACATGCACAAACACATATACACACCTTGTTTCCATCTTCTTCTCAGGACTTGGGGCTCTCAGAGAGTAGAAAGAGTCTTGTACTATGAGTCCAGGATCAACTGTGCAACCTTGCCCAAGTGTCCTCCCTCTTGTTTATAATAACAAACATCCTTACCCACCAATTAGGGTTATTTTGAAGACAAAACAGAAAAAATAACAGAATGATGGCATGTTGTATAGTAAAAAAAAAAAAATTAACCTTGGCCAAAAAGAGGTCTGGCCTTTGTCCTAGACTCCTGGGAGGTGACCATCAACATGTAATATCTGATAGCAATATCTTTGCCTGGGGATCTTGGCTCATGATGGATGGTCTAATAATAAGATTTAGGGTGGGGACTAGCCAGGCCAGGAAAAGTGACTATCTGATTTAGAGTTCAGGCTTTAGGTCACCCCTGGAAGGACTGGAGACTGGAAACTGAGAGCAGCCACATGGACAATCAAGCATGCCTCTGTGATGAAGTTCCAGTAAAAATCCTGAACACTGAGGCTTGAGGGAGCCTCACTGGCTGGGAATACTCCATGTGTATTGGCACATAGCAAAGCTGGGAGGGTAATGCACTCTGACTGCATGGGGAAGGGATAATGGACACTCCATGCCTGGTGCCCTCCTGGACTCAGCCCTGTGCCTTTCTTCCCCTGGCTGATTTTAATCTGTATCCTTTCCGTGTAATCAAGCCATAACTATGAGTATAACAGATTTCTGTGGGTTGTAGCCAGTTCTTAGAGGTAAGCAAGCAGAGTTGATCTACTGCCTGCTTGAAAAAACTATTTAAAAATTCCTAAACTGAAGAAGGCCAGAGCTGTCATGAATCTGACCCAACAGATTTTGAAGCCAAAGCTGAGGGCATTTGAAGCCAAAGCCTGGCCATAGATGAGGCTCCTGGGAGGGAACAGGTGCAGTCGTGCTCAGGCTGCAGTGTCCCGGGGCTACAGCTGGACAAGGGCTCCCTCTGGGTCACAGCTTCCAGGGACAGAGTTTAGGGCAGGTCAACTGTCTGATTTATAGGACTCTGGTGATGAGCTCAGCTGGGAAACTGTAATGGGAAGGGAATGGTTTTGCTTTTCCAAATCGTCTACCCCCTGCATGCTTGGATCCACATTGGAACTCAGTGTGGAAACTGCCTTTGAACAGCCTAAGCCTGAACTCTGGGTCATGTGTCCGGTTTCCTGGCCTCCAGCTTTGTTCACTCCTTACCTCTACCCATCACTGATGCCAGATCCATCCTCCCAAATATCCTTTCATCATGCTACCCTCCCCACCACCTCATGACACCTTCTATACAACAGGAAATGCCTCTCACCTCAACCTGGCATTCAAGGTTCTTTCTGATGTGGTTCACCTCTCACCACCCCACCCTGTGGGCCCTGCCTAATTGGATCAATTTTTCCTATCCATGAGCTGAACTTTCCCACCTCCATACTGTTGCTTACACTGTGACCTTCCTGTGCATGTTCTTTTCCTCCCTCTTCCCAAGTCTAAATGCTATAGACTGAATGGTGTCTCCTGAAAATTCATACTTGGAGCCCTAACCCCCTATGTGATTGTATTTGGAAACTGGACTCTTAGGAGGTAAAGTGAAGTGAGGGAGGAGGGGCAGAGCAAGATGGCTGCATAGTAGTCTCTACCAATCATTCCCGCTGCGAGGTGGCTGGCTTCAGCTGAGACTCAGCACATTCCCAGCTATGGTGGCTAAGGTGAGAGATTTCTTTTGCTTGAGAAAAGCAGAGGGAAAGCTAAAAGGGAATTTGTCTTGCAGCTTAGGTACCTGCCTGGCCACAATAGGGTAGAGAGCACCAAATGGGCTCTTGTGGTCACTAACTTTAGGCCTTGGCTATTAGACAGCATTTCTGGGCCTGCCCTGGGCCAGAGGGGAGCCCACTGCACTGAAGGGTGAGGCCCAGGCCTGGAAGCATTCACCACAAGTGACTTAAGAGCCCTTGGGCCCTAAGTAAACATCAACAGTAGCCTGGCAGCACTCCCTGTGGGCCTGTGGTGGTGGTCATAGGGTGAGGCTCCTCTGCCTGTGGAAAGGGAAAGGCAGAGTGGGAAGGACTTTGTCTCATGGTTTCAGTGTCAGCTTAGCTGCCTTAGAATAAAGCACCAGGTAAATTTCTAAGGTTTTTTACTCCAGTCTCTGGCTCCCAGACAGCATCTCCGGACCCAGCAGGGCCTCAAGAAACTCATTGCCCTGAAGGGAAAGACACCAGCCTAGCTGGCTTTGCCATCTTCTGACTGTAGGGCCCCAGGGCCTCGAGTGAACATAGGCAATAGCCAGGTAGTGTTGACAGTGGGCCTTGAGTGAGAACCAGTGCTTTGCTGGCTTTAGGTCTGACCCAGTGCAGTCCCAGTAGTGGTGGCCATAGGGATGTTGTGTCAGCCCACCCCCAGCTCCAAGTGGCTCAGCAGAGAGAGAGAGAGAGAGAGAGAGAGAGAGAGAGAGACACTGACTGACTGTTTTTTGGAGAGAAATTACAGGTAGCGAATAAGAGTCTCTGTTGCCTGGTAGCCCAGAGAATTCTTCCAGATCTTATCTGAGACCACCAAGGCAGTTCCTCTATGAGTCTGCCAGAACCGTAGCATAACTGGGCTTGGAGCGTCCCCTAAGAAAGATACAGTTTAGAGCACAACACCCACATTCTTTCAAATACCTGGAAAGCCTTCCCAAGGGTGGCTACAAACAAGCCCAGACTGAGAAGACGGTGGCAGCTTGAAATCAGCCATGGAATATTTACACCACAGAAAATGTCAAACACTACAGAACAGACTCTGTTCACTCCCCAACAGAGAGCCCCTTGTGTAACAACCGCACACCACTGCCCCATCCCTGAGCGGAGCGCTGTGTGTTGTAGCAGAGTGGGGGTGGGTGTCTTCTCCCTTGGGCTATAGAATACACATTTTTTTTCCTCAGCACATGGATCATTCTCAAGGATAGACCATATGTTAGGCCACACGACACGTCTTAAAACATTAGAAAAAAATGAAATAATATCAAACATCTTCTCTGATCACAATGGAATAAAACTAGAAGTTAGTAACAAGAGAAATGTTGGAAACTATACAAACACATGGAGATTAAATAATATGCCCTGGAATGACCAGTGGGTCAATGAAGAAATCAAGAAGGAAATTGAAACATTTCTTAAATGATAATGGAAACACAACATGGCAGAACCTATGGGATACGACAAAAGCAGTACTAAGAGGGAAGTTCATGGCTGTAAACACCTACTTTTAAAAAGTAGAAAAGCATCAAATAAACAACCTAACAATGCATCTTAAAGAAATAGAAAAACACGAGCAAACCACTCAAATTTAGTAGAAGAAAAGAAATGATAAAGATCAGAGCAGAAATAAATGAAATTGAAATGAAGAAAACAAAGCATCAATGAAAAGAATAGTTGGTTTTTGGAAAAGATAAACAACATTGACAAACTTTTAGCCTAAGGAAAAAAGAGAGAAGACCCAAGTGAATAAAATCAAAGATGAAAAAGGAAACATTACAACTGATATCACAAAAATTCACAGGATCACTAGTGGCTATTATAAGCAACTATATGCAAAGAAATAGGAAAACCTACTAAAAATGGATACATTTCTAGACACATCCAGCCTATCAAGATTGAACCATGATGAAATCCAAAACCTGAACAGACTGATAAGAAATAATGAGATCGAAGTGGTAAGAAAAAGTCTCCCAGCAAAGAAAAGTCTGGGACCTGGTGCTTCACTGCTGAATTCTACCAAACATTTAAAGAAAAACTCATACCAACCTTACCCAAACTATTCCAAAACTAGAGAACTTACCCAAACTATTCCAAACTCATTCCACAAAGCTAGTATTACTCTGATACCAAAACCAAAGATACATCCAAAACAGGGAACTACAGGCCAATATCACTGATGAATATTGATGCAAAAATCTTCCACAAAATATTAGCAAATTGAATTCATCAACACATTAAAGTTGGGGTGCAGTGTCCCAGGTTCACTCAACCCTTCCCCTTTTCCTGTAAGTGTCTACTTTGGCTGTGCTCCCAGGTGGCAGCCGTGGTGGCAATGTTGGTGTGTGGGCCTCCCAGGACAAGGGGAAAGCGAGTGTGCCCTTCTCTTGCCTCCTGCTAGGTGTCTGTAGCCTGGCACCAGCTCTGGCCAGGTCTTCAAGCAAGGGACCTGGAGATGTTCTTTTCCAATTTCTGGATTGGGAAATGGAGGCAAATTCTGGGTACTCGAGTCAGAACGAAGATGAGGCTGAATCAGGGGAGTCTGGGGTCCTGAGAGGCAGAGACGTGAAACCCTCTAGAGTGTGTGGGGAGCTGGGTGTGTGTTCTGGCCGGTTGCTTCTCCCTGTGCCTCAATGTTCCAGGTACCCTTCGAGGGGCTGAGATCCTGGGGGTGCCTGGAGCCTGACTGCATGGCCTGGCCACCCTGATGACCTTGTGTTTTCCATGACAGGCCAGCAAGGCCAAGGAGAATGGCTCCGACAGTTTCATGCACTCCATGGAGCCACAGCTGGAGCAGCAAATGGAAACCACCCAGAGCCTGGTGGACTCCTATGTGGCCATTGTCAACAAGACCGTGTGGGACCTCATGGTTGGTCTCATGCCCAAAACCACCATGCGCCTCATGATCAACAATGTGCATGCACTGCCTCATGGGGTCAGAGGCTCCTGTGGCACTGGGAACGCAGGTGGCCATGTTGGCCTGGGGGAGATGCCAACCAGCCCTATGAGACCAGGTCTAGAGAGAGGGGCATGGTCCAGACCAGAGCTGTCCCATAGAACTATAACAGGACTGGGCATGGTGGCCCATGCCTGTAATCCCAGCACTTTGGGAGGCCAAGGCAGAAGGATTGCTTGAGCCCAGGAGTTTGAGAACAGCCTTGGGCAAGATAGTGAGACCTGGTGTGTACAAAAAAATTCAAAAAATAGCTGGGTCTGGTGGTGGCATGTGCTTGTAGTGCTAGCTACTCAACAGGCTAACCTTGGAGGATCACTTTGAGCCCAGGAGGTTGAGGCTTCAGTGAGCATTGATCTCACCCACTGTACTCCAGCCTGGCAACAGAGTGAGATCCTGTCTCCAAAAATTAAAAACTGAGTAGATAGGTGTCCTGGTGGCATGATGGGTCCTGGGTCCCCTCCCAGATCTGTGACCTAGTACAGGTGACTTTTCCTCTGGACCTCTTTCCCTATCTGAGTGAGAAAAGGGTGGTGGGGAGGCAGGTCTTTGAGTCTAAGTGGTGTAGAAGCCGTGTCTGAAAAGCCATACTCAGGGCTCCAAGTCCAGCACACAGCCCCAGTAGGGCCTGGTGGGGTGGCCAGTGGGGCACAAGCATCAGGTCCCAACCTCCTTCCCTCTTTGCCCACTCTCAGACCAAGGAGTTCATCTTCTTGGAGTTGCTGGCCAACGTGTACTCATGTGGGGACCAGAGCACGCTGATGGAGGAGTTGGCACAGTAGGCACAGCGGTGCAATGAGATGCTGTGCACACACCATGTGCTGAAGGAGGCACCTGGCATCATTGGAGACATCAACACGACCATCAGCATGACCACCATCAGCACGCCCATGGGGGCCTGTGGACAACTCCTGGCTGCAGGTGCAGAGCGTCCCAGCCGGACGCAGGTACCAGGGCTGGCCCCCACAGCCCCAAAGCCTCCCAGCCTGCATGACTGAAGCTGTGGGCTCTTGGAACAGGTTCCATGCCCAAGCTGGCAGACGTGGGTGCTCTCTGGAGCTGTCAGAGAGGGCAGAGAGCTCGTGGTTTACGGTGTAGGTGCTGGGAACTTGGAGGGGGTTGTATATGGGGCTGGACTCTGAGGCTGCCAGAAGCCTAGGAACGTCATCCTGGGCACGCTGTACCTGTCGTGCAGTCTGAGCCATGCTGTCAGTGCAGGGTATCCAGCTCCCAGCCTGGGAGTGCCGAGAGCCGAATCCACTGCAGAGCAGCGGTGATAGTCAGGGTCCCACCTCCTCTGTCTGTCAGCAATCCAGTGGCGATCTAGGATAAAATCTTGAGAGTCCCATACACATGGTTATCCCACAACACACCTCACAGGCCAGGCAGGAACACACAGGCCCCGTCCCTCCCTCCCAGGTACCATCATAGCTGCTAGCGTGTGACTGAAGGCAGGGTCTCTGGCCCCCACTGAGGCACTACCACAGGCCAGTGGGCTCATGCACCTTGGCCTGTTGCTCCTAGGGGTTGCCTGTGCTATTCAGCCAAGGGGACCACAGTGCCTGCTGGCCCAGCTGAGCTTTGCCTAGCGAGCCCACCCACCTCCCCTCCCACGGACAATCCCTCTTACGCTTTTCCCAGCAGGAAAGGCCCAGCCTCACCTATGCGACCTGTGGACCCCACAACCAGCTGAGGCTCCCCTCTTAGACTTATAAGTCTATGGCCAGTGGCATCTGGCTGCCAACACTCCCTTCCTCCCCCAGGGTCCCTTCAGAGGGTCCTGGGCTTTCTGACCACCCAGAGGGGGCTCTGGCGCTCACTCCAGTCATCCATCCCTTTTAGCTTCACCAACCTGGGTCAAGCAGTGTTCCTTCTCTATCAGGCCTGGTGGCTGTTGGGTGAGGCACCCCAAGGTAAGAGGTGGCCCTGGGCCAGTGGTTTGGAAGGCAGGGTGACCAGAGAAGAGGGAAGCCCAAGGGGGCTGAGTATTGGTCTGAACTGTGGGTGCAGTGCCTGGGTGCTGTGGGAGAGGCCAGTGTGTGTGGGCTGGGGAGGGCCGCCGCAGTCCCCATGTACTACCTGTGAAGCTCCAGTTCCTCCCTTCTTCTTCCTCCCCTTTCCCTTCCAGTCCCTCTTTTCCAGGAACCTTGCCACACCTGCACCTGCGCCCTCCCCTCCGCGGCCCTCCCACAGCTGCTGCAGCACGCCCGCCCGTGCTCTGGCTTGCCTCACCAGCTCTCTGCTCACTTTTCTCTCTCCTGTTTTCTCTCTGCTTCTCTCCAACTGCCAACTGATCAGGTCAGGCAAGTTCATCCGAACCAGAGAGCCCCAGCCCCACTTCGACCTTTAAACAGATCCTCCTCTTCTCAGAGGCCTCCCTTTCCAAGCCTGCCTGGGAGAGTGTCCTGTGACTTGACAGTGGCTCCCCAGCCCAAAGCCAGCCCCTTTCATCTGTGACTTAGTCTGTTGTAGTGCTGAGCTGACACATCCAGGTGTGACGTTGCTGAAACCTTGTGCCCCTTCTGTGGCACGCCCTTCCCTGTTCTATAAATATCTATAAATACTCATATATATATATACGCGTGCGCGCACACACACACACACACACACACCCCTACACATGGCCGACTGCCTCACCTCTAGCGCTGGGAATCAGTCACCGTGCTGTCCTTGTGGAGTCTTGTGGCCCAACAAGAGGAAGCTGTCCCCTGACATTGCCCCTCAAACGTGCACCACCTCCAGTGAGCCTCCCTGTCATGCCCGGCCTGTGGACAGCCAGCCCCCACCATCCCTCCCACCCCCTAACAAACATGGGGGCGTGGTGCAGGCAGCTGTGTGGACTGACAGTCTCGACCAGTCCTGCTGTCCCTCGGCTGAGAATCAAACCCATTTCTGGATGGCGGGGAATGTGTCCTCTGCTGGTTGTGTTCTCTGTGGAGCTCAGGGGAGGGAAAAGGCCAAGCCATTTCTAGGGTGCTGTTGGGAGCAGTGTAAAGGCCACACCCTTTCCAAGGGACACTTTTCCTGGAAAGCCCCTGGAGCTTAGGTGAAGCCGGCTCTGGCCACTAGAGAGCAGAGCCATGAACTCAGCCTGGAGGAGCCTGCGGGGCAGCAGGCACTCTGGAGGGACAGACGGAACAGGTCACCAGGTGCACTGGAGGGACAGACAGAACAGGCCACCAGGTGCAGACAGGCAAGGGAGGCAGCAGGGGCACAGAACGGAAGAAGCCTGGGGTGGATGGAAGTCGGTGCCCTTGGGTGCTGGTGTCTGTCTTCCCGGCCACCGCTAGATGAGGCTTCTGAGCCTGTTGGCTGTCAGGGCTGGACTGTGCCCCATAGGCGCCATGGCAGTCCCCGTGAAATCCACCAGGGTCACCAGGCAGCATACAGGTAACAGGCCTGGAAGGTCCCCAACAGCCCAGCAGGACATGCTCAGATACTCGGGGGCTCCTGGTTCAGTGGCACGAACTCCAGGACCCAGTGAGGGAAACAGGAACACACCAGGCTGAGCAGTATGGATACATCTATTTAGTCTAAACTGAAAAGCAAAATAAACAGTTGCATCAGCAGGGAGCCACAACCTCATCCCCATCTCCTTCCTCTGTCCTATGCTATCAATAAGTTTCCCAACCACAAATAATGATTAGAACCTCCTCCCCATATGCCAGTTCCAACCTCCACTATGTACGATACAGGGGGTGGCTCTACCCCCCGGAATATACAAAATGTTACACAGATACTATATGTACACTGGGGAAGGGGGGCCACCCCAGCAGCCCGTGCCCTCACCTGCTCTCCAGTTGGCCCCACTGTCCCACCTCAGCTGCCTCTCTGAATAAGAAGATGGGAGCCCCGCGAGGGAAAAGTTGCTTTGGTGAGAGTAGGGAGGCCATCAGGCCTCCTCCAAACAAACCAGCTCCACCAGCCTCTGGTTCTTCAATAACAATCGTCATCATCCAGAAATTTAAGGACTCAGCGGTGGTCAAGGTGGCAAAGGGTCTGTCTCCCCCCATTAGACAGAGGTCTTGTCTTGCTACCCTAATGGTAAAGGGGTGACTGGGAAGCGGTGGTAGGGACATGGTGGGGGCGGAGACTCCAGTCCCACTTCTCCAGGCTTATGCTGACAGGGGCCTGCTTTTGTTTATTTTTATTTTTATCCCATGACTTATTTTTTAATCCCATAACTTCTTTTTCATAATACTTCTTTTAACTTTTCACAAAACTTTATTCCACTTTTCTTCCACAACATTTTTGCCACAATTTTTCCACAGCTGATCTACATATTCACATTTTCTAAATATCAGCTTTGGTTTTGGAACTGATTTTTTTTTTTTTCATTTCTGGAAAACCTATCAGGTTTAATCAAATACTTTAAAAATGATTAGATATTGCAATCTTTAAATAGGCATTTTCTTTACTTCCTACAGAAATTCAAATTTATTCAGTTGAACTCACACTTTAAAGTTCTATGTTTCTGATAAACTCTAACCTTCTAATGTTGTCTTCTCAGCCAATTGAAAGCTGCCTTATACTGAATGAGGAAGAGAACTTGGCTGAATGAGGTATTGCAAAAGACTGCGTGCACTTTGAAGAAAAACTTAAGTTATTATAATACAATTTCTATTCTTTTTAGCTTTTTTTAAAAAAAATTACAAAATACCTACACAAAGAGTGGTATTTCAGTTAATACAGTACATTTCTTTTCCAGACTGACATTGAGCTTCAACATGCCAGTGTGTGATTTCATCCATAGGTACCTGACGAACACATTATTGTCAGATTGGTTACAGATGCTAAACACTATCTGAAGGTCATTCCTAGTCATTTATGTTTATCAGGGTAAAAGTGAAGTGACTTGAACTATAAAAATACCTTTGAAATAATTTATCAATGTATTAGGTAAACCCAGTTTCAGAATTATAAAGAAAAACTGTGAGACCAAACAAGGGAGCTAGTTAACAGTGGTATGATTTCTAGCCCAAGGCTCTAAAATAGACAATTTGGAAGAGTCAGTTGAAGTCACAAGGACTAAATATTTGCACCCTTTCAGTGAATATAGGCAAACCTATTATTCCATCTGTAAAATCGTATTATTGCTCTCCTACTAATGTCATATGTATAAAAGTACCATGAGGATGCCAAATGCTAAAAATGGAGATGGTCTAGTAACTAGAAATGCCCACCCCAGGGAGGGCACATACATCTCCCCCTACATCCTAATAAAGTGATGTATTTTGGAAACAGACATTAGAACTTCATGAAGTTGTAGCTGTTGATTCTTTCCCAAGCATCGGAAAGTTATGATTTAGGCAATGTATGACTGAAAGAATTCATTCATCATGTACAGACACATTAACATAAATATGGCACAAATTATGCCTCTAACTGAAACCAAGAGGTATAAAAACGTACTTCACTCTTTTTAAAGAACTTTGTGAGGAAACATAACTCTGTGATGGTATAGACACTTTTCCTCGTAATACTTTGAGCTTCACAAACAGTAGATTGCACAGCAGCTTATAAACATTTTAAATTCCATAAACTTCCCCTTGATTTTCAAATGTAGTATAATACTGTCTACTAAAACTGCTTTTTGTTTCAACTAAGTACTCTCACATATATTGGTTTATAATAATGGTCGTTATTATTTTTAAAGTGTTTTTCATTCAAAGAAAAGAAGCAAATTCCTGTGTCAGATTAACCACTGTGGCTGAAGAATAGGTATTAGCCAGAGAGGTCTAGATGGTAAAATCAGTCTTCTAGCCTCAAAGAAGCTCCGTGA